CTAAGCTTTGAATCATGCAACTTATAGTCCAGTGCAGCTTTTCTGTGAATTTTTCTTCAACCACCAGGGGGCTATTTAGCAGGAAGTGAATCATTGGAAGTCAAAATTGGAAATCAAAGAAGAAAGTGCAGATTTTTATTTAGGACAAGCACATGCTAGCAGCAGGCACGATGGGGAAATGTTTTCAAACTCATACCCCCTCATCATGGAAACCACATGAAGGAAAAGATGACTCTTTTAAGTTGAAACCTATCAATCTGGTAGTACAGGAGGGAAATAGAGCTGCTGCACGTAAGCTCGGTGTGAACGAAACCATGGTTCGGCTTTGGAGATGCAGGGCTGTGTCCTTAATATATCCAGCAGATTTATTAGGATGCTCCCTTAGCTGCGTCCTTATGAAAACCGAGAGCTGTGGAGATACCAGCGGCTTATAGCCCGGTGCAGCTTATATATGTACGTTTACAGTTTCTTAAAAAAAAAATGTAGGTGCGGCTTACGGTAAGGTGCGGAAAATATGGTAGTCATAACTGAAGTGTTAATAAACTGTCAGAAGAGTGACTATGAATTATATATTTTTCTTTCTTTCCCTTCTCCTGAACATTGATTATTGGACTTATACCCTGGCACAGCAGATGGAGGATTGCGTCGTCATCTTAGGACATCGTTTGGTTTTTCCTCTTCACCTCAACTGGAAGCAGCGTCTGTATGAACTGAACTACTAAAGCTGGTACTGCTTTGTTTTATTTTCTCATAGCGTGCAACAGCCTTTACGTTTTGGGTCTCACCACAAGCAGGGCCAGATTAACACTTTGCTGGACCCTGAGCCCCATGATCATGCCCAGAAGATCACCGTAATCTGGCAAAATACAGAATAAAATACTGTAATAATACAGTAAATATACTCAATACTTTAGATTCAGTTTGGTATACAAATGACCAAAAACTTTTAGAACTACAAACACTCCTATGTCTTCCTGTCAGTGACACTCAGACAAATATGATGCTAGGAAAACAAACCGCATGTCAGTATCAGAATGATCTGGTAAAATTCACCCGCTACACTGAGAGGGTGTAGTGGTTGTTTATTTTATGAACAATAAACAACCAAACCATTGATGTTTACCCAACGCTGACCCCCAACAGAAATGTACTGAACTGATGGAGATATCTCAGAGGAAGTTCACAGAGATCAAGAAACATTTTAAACAGAAATTATCCGGTTGCCCCAGAATTTAACAGGACTATTAAGTTATTAGCCTTTTGATGCCAGTGTTCCCTCCACAACTATGAACAATTTACTGCATTTTCATGGCCACACAAGAAAAAAAAACACAATCAGGGTTCATTCACTTTTCACAAAGTAAATTTCAAGCATTTTTAAAACATTTTCAAGGTAAGTTTTCCAACTATTCCAGCGTCACACTTTGGAGATAAAAACAAAACCAATGAACTAAAAGAAAGACAATATCATTTATTACTGTTAGTAATTTATTTGAATGGTATTTTCCATTCTATGCCACATACAAACTATGACAACATTTTATGTTTTCAAATGTCTTTAAGACACACCTTACACAGCTGACCGGCCTGAGAACAAAACACTACTTTAGCAAAACAATCCCCCAATTTCAAATAGTTATAAGCCGAGCGTTATTTCAGTCACAGATATGTCATTGAGCCTTTAGGAATAATACATATTGGTTATATTGAACAAATACGAACAAATCTTTAGATAAATGACCTTCCTGCTCAAATTAAATGCTTAAACACAATTACAAAGTTACAGAAAATGTTCTTGATAAGTTTTCTGACATTAGGGAAACAGAAATCACTGTGGTAATTGTATCTGACCTAAATCAAGAAAAGTTTCCAAATTTAGGCTATTAATAAAACGTTTAATTTGTATTTTATTTAAAGAAACTGTGCAGTATGGATATCAAGCACTGTCAAGGACTTTATGCAGAAATCAAGCGCTTTCCAAGCCTTGAACGCACCTAAATGAAGGATTTCAAGCAAAATGAACATGTTGGTCCAAAACTCATTTAACCTGTTTCAAAACAGAAAGCACCCTCTCACCCTCACAGTTAGACACAGCAAAAGTAAGAACACAAACAATCAGTCATCACAGCCCCTCTCAAATTAAATCCCAAACAGGTCACACACGAACAAAGCCTGTCAGTGATGACATTATATATTTCAAAGGAAAATCTCTGACTGTTGTCAGAAAAAGCCACTTACTTTCAAGTAACCGATACTTGGCAGCTCGGTTCTGAAAAAGCTGGAGATCCTCGGTAGATCGACTCTTCCCAGAAACACTCTGCAGCGCAGAATCGCGAGCGGCTCAGGCGTCGGGGAGACCGGAGATCCGCCATCACCGCTTCCCTCAGCGGCCGCAGCAGCATCCGCGCCGTTGTGCTGCCAGTGTTCTGGCTATCTCCGCTACGCAGCAATATGTCCCACCTTGAGGCAACGCTCGCATCGATGTTACCTCACAGGTTGCTTACTCAGCAGATTTCTTATCAACTACGATAAGCTTAATTTATGTCATGACTGGGTTTCTTTAAGCTGCTCTGTTACTTCTTGTTTTAAGTTTACATGATTGGTGGCTTGTAAATACACTTATAAATGGCTTTAGTTTGTCGTCTGGCATGTTGTTACCATATTGTATACTGTAAACGAGAGTCACTGCTCGGCACTGACCACGTGAGTCAGGACAAAATATCTTGTTTTGTCCCTATACTGTAAAATATTTTAGTTTAATAATGCTTTGTTTATTAAACCATGCTAAATAGATGTTGATGGTGATATTGCATGTGACTGAAGCTGTGCATGTCTCTGGTTTCATGTTAGCATATTAAAAAGCATACCCAATCATGTCAGGTGCACAGTGACGTCTGCAGTTCGGTGGAGACATTTTGACTGCACTACATTGGATAAAGACTGCCATACAATGTATTGATGTGCAAAAAAGAGTTTGCATGGATCTGTATTTGTAGATTTTTGCGTTTAATTTAATTTCAATGAAAACTTGTTTCCCCTGTTTGAAACCGTTTCATTCTTACAAACATTTATGTTTAGAAATTGGTAGGATATTACAATGTTAAGACATGAACTGCTATACCTTTGTATTTAAAAAGAAGGCTGGAAATTCTGATTAAATAATTTAGTGCATCACCATGTACAGAGGTAAAATTTTCTAATCAGGGAATTTCCTAGATAAACATGTGCGACCTACCAGTGTGAAATGGGTAGGATATCCCGATGAAGGGTTTTGGTGCATCAATATGTGCTTCCTCCGTATTTTATAAAGATTTTCAAATGAAGGAATCTGGTGTTGCAAACTGTGCGTGTATTTACCAGGTTAGATGTCAAAATGTGCTCCCAGGTGTAGTTTATGGGGGTAAGATAGGTCAGAAAACTAAGGGTTCACATTTAACTTAAGGTTTGGTTGTTTTGCTTAATTTTAAAAGAATGTGTGAGTCTGTGCGAGTTGATCATGATGTGTATTGCAGAGGAATTAAGTGAAAGTTATGTGTGTTAGAGGATATGTTGGATTTAAGGATGAGCTATTGAAAAAGTTAACATTTATTAGTCTTTATTGCTACATAAGTAAATCTAGAAGGCTCTTACCAAGTACAGAAGGTAAAGATGGGCAACATCAATGTTCCAGTTGTTTCTAATCTGGTGAGGTTTCAGTTGTGATTTAAATGAACTCAGTGTGTCCGTAGTTTTACAGTTTTCTTGAAGTTTATTCCAGATTGAGGAGCATAAAACTGAATGAAAGAAATATCTGTTTCATTCAGACATACTTCTGAAACAGTTCAGAAAAATATTCCTCTACGACGTTCACAGCTAAGATGGAAGATTTACATGGAACTTGTATCATTCGATTGTTGAAGTTGATGTAAGATGAAACCATGTCACATGCTTGAGGTTTTGCAGGATGTTTGCAATTAGAAAGACACTCTTAGCATTTGTATTAATATATAGTTATTTATTTAGATATTGTTTAAAGTACAGGAAGAAAAGAATTACATTTGAAAGGATAAAAACCAGTGCAATTAATTTGTATCATGATTTAGCACTTTA